AAGTGAATAATGCTCTTTCATCAGTGCCAGCGCCGCTCTGACTCCGCATTGGTCCACACATCACCATGCAGACAACAGTCTGTGCATCCAAAACACACACACAGGGGGAGAGAAGCAATGCTTTCTGGTCTTAAAACCCGATTAAGAAATATTGTTTTTCCACAGAAAGGCATTTAGTTCACAGCACAGCAGTGCCCTTAGCAACCCCCATTAGTGCATACCATACCATTACCTGAAACATTCACATCTGAAACACCTCAGGGGTGTGTGTTTGTCAAATCCGAGAGTAAAACACTCAATTAGACATGCCTCCAGGGCCCAGAAACAATCCTGCCGCACCTGAACTCCTCAGACTTGAGCTGGTGTAAATATGACTTATGTTTCCCGTGAGGAGAACTGAATGTGTTGCCAATCACCATGACTGCAGAACTAAACTCTTTTTGGAAATCTACAAGAAACTCTAAAATCCAACACACCTAAGGCAACATTGTCAAAGAAAACTTGAGAAATTGCTGGGTACTTGCCCCCTAATACAGCATAATCCACAACCTGACCTTAACCTCTGAGCAACATTCCACTGTGAACATACTTTGTAGCAAGGATGAATCCAAATATTCAAGAGACTGGGACCAAATGTAAAATTTTAAAGTTGTGATGAAAAGGAAGTAGCCACAGATATTTTCTTTGGAACTGTGATTAGGCCTGTCACGATAACAACTTTTTGTTGTGCGATATATTGCCCCAGAAATAATTGCGATAAGCGATATTATTGTCATTTTAAAGACCATTTTATGCCCCTGAATATATAATCATAATGTAACAGCATAATAATGCAAGGCCTACAAGCTTCCAAATGACAACAAACTTTTCATTTTAAAGAATATTTAGATCATGGAAATTAAGTATCAAATATTAGATACCTTAAAAAAACTGAATAAATAGTAAATAAACATTTTCTAACAAAAAGTGCAAAGTAACGAAGAAAAAGAGAAAAATGCACAAAGAACTTGTATGGAGATTTTTCCATCTACAGATTTTTCCCGGACCTTCTTTTCTCTGTAAATTAAGGGTGC